TTTTATCTAAAATTTGTATGTCTAATGCAAAATATATGATGTTTATATTCAAAATGATCACCAAATTATAAGAATTCCAGCAATGTAAATTATATTCTGGCCGGGTAATTTGTATGAATTTTATGAGCTAAAACAGGCAGTCAGGCAGGGTCGCGGGTGGGGCAAATCTAAAAATAGCGTCTCGAGCCGGACACTCACCGCGTATATGTGGAAAAAATCCATGTTAAGTGAAAGTTCAGCTCTGGCGAGGCACCGCGTATATGAAAAAACGCGTTAAGTGAAACCGCGTTAGGCGGGGTAATACTGTATTACAGTATATTATAAATAAATAAATAAACAAATAATTCGGTAAATCTATTTCAAGTAAATGGAAAATAAGCAAACAAATGTTTTTTACCAAGACGCTTCCCTCTGGCTCAGGGTGAGATGTAGGGGTAGATAACAAGGCTATTTATAGCCCGTCTTTGTGTCTGAAGTGGCCAGTACCCTAATGCACCATAAATAATTCATTGAACATTCATTTTTTGTACATAGTATATTCAGTACATATATATATATATATACAGTGACCCCTCCGTTAACGAACTCAATCCGTTCCAGAAGGTCGTTCGTTAACCGAAAAGTTCGTTAACCGAAACCATTGTTTCAATGGGATTTTGGGTAATTGGTTCCAGCTCACCGAAAATTTCCTAAATTCAACAAAAATGGTAGAAAAGTTCACTTACTCTGAGGTATGTATGTAGAAGGCTCCTGGATGATGATGATGATGATGATGGGATTTAGAATGGGGATGGAGGAGAAGGAAAAAGAGAAGGCATTGGGGTGGAAGAGAAGTCGCCCCATGGAGCCATTTCACCCATAAAATTTTAGCTCTCTTGGTGTAATTCAAGATTATTTTCTTTAAATCAACACTGCACTGCATTATATATTGTCAATATGTAAAATATATTTCAAAATGATCAATAATTTGCTTGGAAACACAGAAAAAAAGCGTTTAGTTGAAGAGAGTCTCAAGCAAGATGTTACCTCCAGTGAAAACAGAGAGAGACTAACTCCTGTTTGCTGTGTTAAGAGGCTGGATGCCGCGCGTTAAACTAGTCACTTTACCTTCAGTTATGTTCAATAATTGTTAAAATGACTAAAAAATTAAATGTTAAACTTTTAAAATAATTGAATAGTATAAACTTCTTGATATTTACTAAAATAGTAAGGAATTTAAGCCCTAGAACCAATTAATGTATTGGCGGACTGATACTAAAGCTGGTTGCCCGGTCAGTGAAAGCGAAAACATGTTGAGGTCGGTTCGTAAGAACTTCGTTAACCGAATTGAAGATCCTTATGGAAGGCAATTCGTTAATCGAAATTACGTTAACCGAGGTGTTCGTTAAACGAGGGGTCACTGTATATTTATATTTATATTTATATATATATATATATATATATATATATATATATATATATATATATATATATATATATATATATATATATATATATATATATATATATATATATATATATACCTAAAGTTGTACCCACTTAACGCGTCAATTGAACCCAGAGGGTCCGTTAAGTGAAATCCGCGTTAAGTGAACAACAGAACATATGGGATTAATTCCAATAGAAACCGGCCCGACCCCCAAACTCCACTTTTTGAAGGCACATACCTATGTTGTAGTAAAAATAACATCTTAATTTTATGATGGTACATGCACACAATTAATACTTAAGAGAAATAGAGAAATACAGTCGCCAAGTTAATGTCCATTCAAATAATGGACTCAACTCCCTCCCCCTCTCACACTACACAGCCGGCTAACAGATGGTCGGTCGGTCCCTCCCTCCCCCCCCCACCCCCCACCAACCGTCCCAAGGAGATGTGTGGGATAACCTCAAACTAAAGTTAGGAAAATATAATTGACATTGCTGGATTCCTTGTAAGACCAGGAATATTTTGAATATAAATGTCATATATTTTGGACAAAAGATAACAGTTACCTAGAGAAAAATTTTTATCTAAAAATTGTAAGTTTAAAGCAAAATATATGATGTTTATATTCAAAATGATCACCAAATTATAAGAATTCCAGCAATGTAAATTATATTCTGACCGGGTAATTTGTATGAATTTTATGAGCTAAAACAAATATCTTCAGTTAATAAAAAAAAAATAATCTTCACGACACTATCTGTCAATCAAAGTACCCCACCTTGCCTCCCCCCCTCTTCCAACCGCGCGGTCAGTCCCAACCCTCCCCCCCACCCCCCACCAATCCTCCCTTCCAGAGTTTTTAACATTTAGTATTAAATAATACCTCAGATTAAAGTTAGGATAATATAATTGACATTGCTGGATTCCTTGTAAGACCAGGAATATTTTGAATATAAATGTCATATATTTTGGACAAAAGATACCATAGTTACCTAGAGAAAAATTTTTATCTAAAAATTGTAAGTTTAAAGCAAAATATATGATGTTTATATTCAAAATGATCACCAAATTATAAGAATTCCAGCAATGTAAATTATATTCTGACCGGGTAATTTGTATGAATTTTATGAGCTAAAACAAATATCTTCAGTTAATAAAAAAAAATAATAATTCTTCACACGGTAACAGATGGTCGGTTGGTCCCTCCCTCCCCCCCACCCCCCACCAACCGTCCCAAGGAGATGTGTGGGATAACCACTAAATTTTAATAAATAATACCTCAAACTAAAGTTAGGATAATATAATTGACATTGCTGGATTCCTTGTAAGACCAGGAATATTTTGAATATAAATGTCATATATTTTGGACAAAAGATACCATAGTTACCTAGAGAAAAAATTTTATCTAAAAATTGTAAGTTTAAAGCAAAATATATGATGTTTATATTCAAAATGATCACCAAATTATAAGAATTCCAGCAATGTAAATTATATTCTGGCCTGGTAATTTGTATGAATTTTATGAGCTAAAACAGGCAGTCAGGCAGGGTGGCGGGTGGGGCAAATCTAAAAATAGCGTCTCGGACACTCACCGCGTATATGTGGAAAAAACCCGCGTTAAGTGAAAGTTCAGCTTTGGCAAGGCACCGCGTATATGCGAAAACGCGTTAAGTGAAAGCGCGTTAAGCGGGGTAAAACTGTATATATATATATGTTTGTGTAATAAATGTATGTAGTAAGTACATACCGGTAACCTTTTTCACTCAAATCCTAATGAAACACCACAATTAGAATACGGTGGTTGCTGTTGAACCACCTGTTGTATAAATAGTCGGAACACAGTCACACCACCGAGACGAGGGAACACTCCCACCACCGATCGTCTCGTGCGAAGCAAGCGTATAAATAAAAGAAAATACTTGCAGTGTGTTTAATATGTTACAGTATATTATAAATAAATAAATAAACAAATAAATCGGTAAATCCATTTCAAGTAAATGGAAAAATTTTACTCGACACCGACATTAGTTCCAGTTACCGGTAAATAGCAGACGCTTCAGTGACGTCACTAGTGTTTACACTACACCAGCGGGTAATATTTGATGACATTACTTGAAGTGAATTGGCCTTATTTTAAAAAACCAAGGATGGTTGGTAAAGGACTACTGAGTCAGTGGGTAAGTGTCACATTTGGGGTACTGGTCTTATACAGCAAATAGAGCTCAAAAGCTACTTTTTAAATGGAAATTTGGGGGGGCCGTCTTATGCACCCCGACGCCTTATAGGCCGCGATATACAGTATTATGTTCATTATTAACTTATAATCAGTGTGTACACTAAAATTGTTTACTAAAAGAATGTTTTGATGTATTTTAAGACTTTGAGCAATTATTTTTCCTTAGGGACATGTCTCATATTTTATAATGGGAATCTATGAAATCCGATTTACAGAAAAATTAAGTAATTTATATATTTTTTAAGAACAGAACCTTTTTGTAAATCAGAGAATGCCTGTACCTATGTGTACTGTACTAACATTTACATCCCTGAGTATAATAAGATTGTTTATATAAGTATAGCACATTCCTTTACCTATTTAGGACTTTAGATATGTCTCTCTGGGGTCACTTCCCCTAACCCATACAAGAATCATAAAATGCAACCCTACAATTTACAGTTGGCAAGGGATTACTGTACATGACAATACAGTTACTCCACACAAACTGTATAAAGATTTAGTTGGATAGAGGTGTGTTCTACCGAGTGTGAACTGCAGTGCTGTCCCAGGGTACCAATTGTCTGTGTACCACAACCCAGTGATGTTGTCCCATACTGGCAAGGCTCTCTGGGAAAGGCTTCAACAGGCAAGTTATCTTCCTCTCAGTCATTTTGTGAAGAGATGGCCTCCATCAAGGGAACCTACACAGGAAATTAGAGGACCTCCCCAATTCCCGAGAACATATACTAGGTCTCCCTGGTGTGTGTGTCAGTATCTCTTTTGAGCATGAACAATATATACCAGCTGAGAGCTTCTGTTCTGGGCAACTGCTTGTTGCCCAGCCTCATTAACACTTAACCATTTTAGTGTCACAAAAACACTAATTAGTATTTTAATGTCAGACACAGCTGTTGCTGGATGAAAGTGAGAGAGTGAGAGAATTACACTTTTAATGCCTCTGGAATTCCATTTCCCTTTATATAATAGCAGAGAGAGGATTTATCTTCAGCTCCTGTGACTAAAAATTGCATAAGGTTGTCACTCACTTTAGTACAGTATTCAAGTTTGATATTGATAAGTAATGGCTTGGGCTCCAAATTCTTTGGATTGGAGTACATCTATTTTTATAATAAGTTTTTTGAATTGAAAATGTTTCAAAAACACACACAACTCATGAAGCTGGACCGTACTCATCAGGTAGACTTGATTTTCTCTTTTCCTCATTACTTGTTACTTTCTTTTGCCTTCACATATTTTAAGCTATCTGCATGCCTGTCAGGTCACACCCTCTCCCCCATTTATTTATACAACAGACCTGCACTAAATTCAAGAAAGGTCAATGAGACAATATTAAATTAAGAAATCTGGTGATCGGTAGAAAATTCTGCGACCTATGGAATGCTGAGCAGAACTACAGCACAGTGACAGAAGACAGTTGCCAGATGCCATCAATACATAATATACTACAAGTACGTATATAATAACACCTCATACTGTAGATACATAATAATGTAAAGTAGAACTACATGATGTACAGGAATAAAGGGTAATGAAAAGTATAATTAGCATCATAATGACCTAGTGGGTGATGCTTCACACCTCTGACTTTGGGAAGCAGATGCCACCACACTTGACAGTGTTTTTGCTCTACTGGAAGTAGTTTCAAAGATTCTAAACAATATTTTGCTATAAAAATATTGCCTTAGGTACAAACAAATTCATTCATAAAGCATAAATGCAGAGCAAAGCAGTGGCAGCTACTACAACAATTGTTTATTGTCTACCAACCAATGTTCAGCACTCAGAAATGTGATACCTGATTTGGGGTCTTATTGTGGAAAAGGAGTACCAAACTAGAACACAACACATAGTTTAAAGCAGTAAGAATAAAAGCGAGAACAATGAATGAGGAGTCTCTCTGTCTCTATTGTCTATCTGTCTGTCTGTCTGTCTGTCCAGAAAAAGACTTTAGTTAATATCTCTCCATGCTTTCATTTTGAATTACAAGTCCTTCAAAATTGCAGTAAGGTTTAACTTACCACCCTCAAATGAACGATGATTGGACATAGACTGGGTGCGTTCCCGAGAAACAGGAGGGTCTACACTTATATTGTTGCAGGGATCATGCATCGCTCTGAAAAAGAAAAATGCATTATTGCTTTGAAAATTTAACTGTACACAGCAAATTTATGTAGAAGTGAGTGCATGAACATTAGTGTATGAATGTGTTCTCAGTGAGTGTGGGAACATTAGTGTACGAGTGTGTTGAGCAAGTGTGTGAACAGTAATGTATGAGTGTGTTCTGATTGAGTGCGTGAACATTAGTGTATGAGTGTGTGAACATTTGTATGAGTGTGTTCTAAGTGAGTGTGTGAACATTGTTGGATTAGTGTGTTCTGAGGCAACAGACATGAGGCAATAAGTAAATACACCCCTTTTATTTTTAAATAAACCCAACATGAGGCAATTGCTCAAATTACACCCATGATGGAGACAAAATTGAGAAAGAAGGAAGCAGGTCCACACTTCCCACATAGTTACAGAATGATGCTTATATGTGAAGAATCAGGTCCAAAGATGTATGTACAATTTTTCAGTGGTTAAACAACAGAAAATAGGCTGAAATGATTCATAAACACTGTTGTAAATACAATAAATACTACATGTTTGTTGTTCAACACCTCAACACAAGAGACCTACACAATCTCCACTGTACAATAAACATTAATTGTATGTTCACTGTATGTTTCTATTCCTTTCTGTGATGAAAACTTTTTTTAAACAATCCCCCCCCCCCCCATGTTAATGTATGTAATAAGTCCTTTCTGTCAACTGTTCACAGTATTTTCAACCACTGGGCTACTGAGCTTAAAAAATAACTAAATAACTAAAATTATAATTTCCTCACACCATCCACAACCCCCTCCCCTGCACCCCACTCAGGTGACCAACACACCTCACACCATCCACACCCACAACCACCCTGACATTGCACCCTCTTCTCATTCCCCACATCCTCCTCCTTCCTTCCCCTCCCACGATCGCACACTAACTACCGTGGACATAAATGTTTATCTTTATGTTTTTTACCTTGCGATGACCATTTTTCTTTTTTCTTTTCTTTTTTTCTTTTTGCACATTCTGTGCAAAGAATTATGTGAGCATGTAACCGAGTAAAAATACTAATATACAAAACAAAAGGAAGAAATACAGCATTACCAGTTGGCAGGTACTGACCGAGACTGAAAAACAGCCCTGGACTTTCACCCAGACCTGCCCCCACAGCCAGCGTGCGAAACAAACCTGCTCAGCCTCTGCTGACGGCTTGAACGGCCAAGCTCCCCAGTCTCTCACACTCATCCACCAAATTTCAGGGGCCATGTAATATTTCAATGTAATTCTGATCTTTTAAAATGTTAGTTTTTGCATAATGTAGTACTACTGATATGTAATTTGTCTTAGTATGCCTTACTGTGAATAAAAATAAGTATAATGTATATTAAATGTATCCTCCGAAAGTGTGAATTTGGTACCAGAGTTTAACAGTTAATTCATGTCTAAGATTTCTGATATACTTCCTACATGCTCAAGTTTGAAATAATGAATGTATGTATCTTTGTATAATTTAGCTAAATATCTTTCTCATCAGAAACAGTCATCCCAATGATTATGATTAAACCTGGGACTTGGTCACAATTTTTGTATAAGGAACATACAGTGAACATACAGATTAATGTAGGTGTTGAACAGCATATGCCATATGCTGTTCAACACCTACATTAATCTGTATGTTCACTGTATTTTCCTTTACCTTTCTCTAATGAAGGCTTTTGATAAACCACCAATGTATGTAATAAGTCATTAATGTCCAATGTATATTTTCAGCCTTCGGGCTGCAGAATTTTTTCAATAAATCGTTAATAATTATTATTATTATTATTATTATTATTCACACACACACACACACACACACACATATATATATATATTAAGACAACAAGCATTCAGTGAGGGTCTTGTTGTGTGAATGCATGGAGGCAAATTAAAAGATCTGTTGTTGAGGAGCTTATCGCTTGGCACCACTGGTGCATGTTACACTCCTTTCCACTCCATCTCTCTAATCACCCACACATCTTTGCTTTCTCACTCCATATTTTAAATGTTATGTAATGTAATGTTGAAGGGATACAACTTTTCTCATTTATAGTTATACTTACCACAATCTCCCTAAAAATACTTAAGGTTTTGCATTTATTCAAGACACCTTCAGGTCATGGGACCCACTAATTCCCCACCCAAGAAAGGGTGACCTGACAATCCATCAGGTCAGTAATATGAGACCACTTAATGCACAAAGGCAGAACATACCATACAAAAAACTCAGATCAGACAACAATGACCCAAAATGGATAAATAATTATTTAAAGAACATCATTGGCCAAAGGAAGGCTATAGGTAGAAGGATAAATCGTGGCGAAATTCACCTCCGGGAGTATTATAGGGTATTGGCGAGTAGGGTTAAAACCGAGATAAGGAAAGCAAAGAGGAATAATGAGGTAAGGATAGCAAGGGAGGCGAAGACAAACCCCAAAGGGTTCTACCATATGTATCAAACTAAAACACGAGAAAAGATTGGACCAATACGGTCAGACTCCGGCGAGCTCACTGATATCGACGGAGAAATGAGCAACAATTTGAATAAATATTTTTCAACAGTTTTCACCACCGAAAATTTAAACATGATACCCGAGGCACCGACTCTATTCAGAGATAGTGAAGAAAACAAATTAAGTGAGATAGTAGTGACTAGTAACGATGTTAGTAAGCAAATAGACAAACTAGAGCAAAAAAGTCACCTGGTCCCAATGAGATATTTGCCAGAGTATTAAAGGAATGTAAGGAAGAGCTTAGTATGCCCTTAGCAAAGTTGTTTAACATGTTCTTAAAAACAGGTGTAGTACCAGAATCCTGGAGGATAGCAAATGTAATACCGATTTTCAAGAAGGGGGATAGATCACTATCCTCTAACTACCGCCCAATCAGTCTTACATCAATAGTAGGCAAATTACTGGAAGCAATCATTTCAAACTCTATTCGAAATCACCTGGAGAAGCACCGATTGATCAATGATTCCCAGCATGGCTTCACAAGCGGACGTTCTTGCCTAACGAATCTATTAACATTCTTTTCATCAGTTTTCGAATCGGTGGACGAGGGGCACAATTATGATGTGATATATCTCGACTTTAGCAAAGCTTTTGACAGAGTCCCCCACGAAAGACTAATTAGAAAGGTAGAAGCTCATGGCATCAAAGGTGACATCCTTAAATGGATTAGGGCGTGGTTACAGGACAGGAAACAGCGAATGAGCATTAACGGCACTAAGTCCCATTGGAGCAACGTAACAGGTGGAGTTCCCCAAGGCTCAGTACTTGGACCATTATTATTTATTATATACATAAACGACATAGATATTGGCATAGACAGCAACATAAGTAAATTTGCTGATGACACTAAAATAGGACGTGTTATCAAATCTGACGAGGACTCGGCAAAACTACAGGAAGATCTAAACAAATTTTTCGAATGGTCTGAAATATGGCAGATTAAATTCAACGTCGACAAATGTAAAGTACTCAGTATAGGAGATGTAAACAGGGAAACCAGATACCAGATGAACAACGATGCCATAGAGAAATCCGACTACAAGAGAGATTTAGGAGTAATGATAAGTAGGAACCTTAAGCCAAGTAAACAATGTGTTTTTGCTCGTAACAAGGCTAATAAAGTACTTGGGTTCATACAAAGGAGTGTTAGTTACAAGACTAGCGAGGTCATCCTAAAACTGTATCTTGCTCTTGTGAGACCACACCTGGATTACGTAGTTCAGTTCTGGTCACCGTATTACAGAATGGATATAGAATCCTTGGAAAGAATTCAGAGGAGAATGACAAGACTAATCCCGGGTATTAGGAACCTTGAGTATAGAGACAGGTTAAAGCATCTTAATTTGCACTCCCTTGAGAGACGTAGAGCGAGGGGCGACCTGATAGAGGTGTATAAGTGGAAGGCAGGGCTAAACATAGGGGACATTACAAAGGTACTCAAACTATCCAACCAGGAGCGAACTCGTAACAATGGTTTTAAATTAGACAAATTTAGATTTAGGCGTGAAATAGGTAAACACTGGTTTGGAAACAGAGTAGTGGATGAATGGAACAACTTACCAAATATCATCATTAACTCGAATACGCTGAACTGCTTCAAACATAGGTTGGATGCTCATATGAGCAATAGGGGTTGGGTGTAAACAGGACTGCCCAGTATGGGCCAATAGGCCAGCTGCAGTTTCCTCCATTCTAATGTTCTTAATCCCCCACCCTACCTCCACCTGACATTGAGTCAGGTCAGGTCCCCCCAAAAAAATACTTTAACTTTCATCTTTATTCAAGACATTTTCAGAAAATTCTCTCGATTGTCAATCTTGAAAAATTTGTCCCTAAAGCCGGAAATTTTTGGAAAATCCGGCTTCGGGAATGATTTTCCGAGCAAATTTCAATTCCGGCAATCGGAGATTTCTGGGTTTGAGGGATTCCAGATAAAGGAGATATTACTGTATTCTCCAGGAGGTCCTCCTGCTTTATACACCTCGGCGGGGATTCCATCAGTCCCTGGGGCTTTCTTATTTTTCATCTGCTTAATGGCAGTAGCTACCTCTTCCGGGGATGGAGGATAACTGAGGTGAGTCAGCTCTGGATGCTGAGGGACCTGCTGTGGGGTAGTCAGGACATCCACATCGGTGTTTTGGTTGAGCAGGGAATGGTAGTGCTCTTTCCAGTGACGAAGGATGCATTTTTCATCTTTAATTAGGGAGTTACCATGAGTGACTCGCCCATAAAATGCTTAGTGGAATTTAAAAATGTGCACACCTTGTGTTGATCTACAGGTTTTTGTGTTTCACATGCTTTATTTTTAAACCAGTCGTTCTTTAGTTTGTGAAGTTTGCACTGGGCCACCGCTTTCTTCTTGCGGGAGGCATCAGCTTTGGTCCGAGACAGAGGGTTGTTCTTCCAGTCAGTTAAAGCAGCACGTTTAACATCGATGACTACAGTAAAACCTCGATTAACCGACCCT